AAGACATTATAATGCCTTTGTAAAATGAAACATAGACTCAAAGTTTAACTAGGATGCTTGTGGAGTAGATTAGGAAAATTTTCAAATTTCTCTTCCATAACGGCGTGTGTACATCATCGAGAAAAATTAAAAGTCTTCTTCTAGATTGTGTTTCTTTTGTTGATTGCATTACTACATACACAACCCCCCCCCCCCCCTCAAAAAGTGCAAAGTCTACAACTTCTTCAGCGAGTTTATTCAAACCTTTCAAACTAACCCCCCCCCCCTCCCACAACCACCTACCACACCCCCAGCGATTTCCGTAAAAAAACAAACCTACATGATGTGAAAGCAGGTGATGTCACGAGGTTATAGTGGGGCTTCACCTTCACCTTCACCTTCACCTTCACCTTCACCATCACCTTCACCTTCACCTATCCCGTAGACTGGATGTCCGTCGGGGCGCTTGTGAAGATTTGGCCACCAGCTTCCTCCACTCCTTCCGGTCTTCAGCTTCCCTGAGTGTGTCTTTGAGTTCCAGGCCTGTCCATTCCTTGATGTTGTCCTCCCAACTCTTCTTCGGTCTGCCTCTGCTCTTTTTTCTCTTTTTAAAGTTTTTGTAAGAGTGTTATGGCACTTGCAACACAATAAGATCATATAAGTGCCGAAGATTAGAGGTGTTACAAGAGAGTAACAAACACAATAAATGAGGAAGAAAGATAAGGACGATAGATGCTTGATAGGAAAGAAGGAGCAAACCACACCAGAGCACCCGTCAACCACTCACTCCTTTTTATTGTTGGGCTGAAAATAGAAAATGGTGAAATGGTATAGGTTTAACGCCCCTATCAACACTATTAGGTTACTTAAGAGGCGGGGCCTCCAAGTTTAACGTTCATCTCCGAAAAGACCGAGCCAAGTGGGGAATTCGTGTAAAGTGTCTTTGGGGGGATCTCGTGGCCTAGAGGTTAAGGTGTTGGCCTCTCATTCAAAGGTCCCGGGTTCGAATCCGGAAGCGACAGAAATTTTTTTCTCTCTAAATGTGTCTCCTTTCACCTCATTTCATACTCTCTTGCAATGTTCTGTCGTCTGCTTTCGTCTCCTCTTTCTGCCCCCACCCCCTCACCTCCTTTGCCCCTTCCTCTGGGCTCCTGATTCTTTCTGCAGCCTTTCTTCTATTACTCCTTCGCTTCTTCTTACTGCTGTCTTTCAGCCACACCCCTGATCTTCTGGTAGGAAAGATCTATACTTAGCCTTCTCGGACAAGGGCGAAAAATCTCGGAGGGCCTGTGTGAAAGTTGCGCACGTTAAAGATCCCTTGGTGGTCTAAAATTGATAAGAGTAGGCTTCGGCCGCCACCCTGGCAAAATTCAAAATTTCCTACCAACTGAAATTATTAGGTGTGTCCCGCGCGCTCATATGCAGTTGCGAGCGCCGTAAAACCCTTTACGAAAACAAAAACAACAAAAGTGTCTTTCCCAAGGACTCAAAGTCGGACCGAGCTGACGCTCGAACCCCCGAACCCACAGGGCTGAAAATAGAAAAGCGTGAAGAAGATAAACCAACAACAATAGCCTGCTTTCTGCCACAGAGAGATAGCGGGACAGAACAACAGCACGATCTGGTCAATTGACGTGACAAGTCACTCATTGTTTCAAAATTGTTGAGTGTGCGGGCTCCCGTCGTGAGAACGTTCCATATTTTTTTTTATCACGTGACTCCTTCTTTCTGCTGAAACACGTGACCGTATTGTCGATGAGTGCTTTTGTTTTGTTTTTTATTTAGAAAGGGTTGAATGGCACTTGCAACACAATTAGGTCGTATAAATGCCGAAGATTAGAGGTGTTGCAGGAGAGCTACAAACACAATAAAGGAGGAGGAGGAGAGGTAAGGACGACAGGACGTGTTTGATAGGAATGAAGAAGGAAACCACACCAGAGCACCCGCCAACCATCAACGAGGAGGGTGTAAACCTTCAACGGGGGGCTCTCGTGGTCAAGAGGTTAAGGTGTTCGCCTCTCACTCAATAGGTCCCGGGTTCGAATCCGGATAGCGACGGGATTTTTCTTCTCCAAGATTGTCTCCTTTCACATCCTTTCTTGTTCTCTAGCAATGTTCTGTCGTCTGCTTTCGTCTCCACTTTCTGCCCCCTCCCCCTCACCCCCGTTGCCCCCTCCTCTGGGCTCCTGACTCTTTCTACAACCTTTATTCTGCTACTGCTTAGCTCCTTTTAACTGCTCTCTTTCAGCCACACCCTTGACCTTATGGTAGGAAAGATCTACACCTAGCCTTCTCGGACAAAGGCGAAAAATCTCGGAGGTCCCGTGTGCAAGTTAAAAATCTCTTGGTGGTGAAAAATCGATATGAGTAGGCTTCTCCCGCCACCCGGGCACAATTCAAAATTTTCTACCAACAGAAATCTTGACCTACACCAAAAGTGGGCATTGCTCTACCTATAGGAGAAGTTTGGTTTCATGGATGTGTATATTTGTTTGGTTATAGAAAAAAAAACTCTCCTTGTATTTTAAAGAAACTGAACAAGGGTTAAAAAACTTTATCTTTGATTTTCTCAAAACAGCATGCTTCGGGATAGCCCCCTTTTGCTTAACTCTTTGAGGAAGCCCATTCTGATCATTCGACTACACTTGATCATGCAATGTTTTAGGGCTGAACTTCATTATTCAAACAGATTTTTCGATTGTGTTTTTTCTTACATGAAATGTTAAAAAAGGCATGTGTCAACATGCATACTATAAAATATGCAAACTCGTGTTTCTGATTTGTGCATGATGGTTCGAGATGTGCCCAAACATTTCCTTTGCTCTGGTGCTGATTGGACATATTATGTGAGACAGCGTGGTGAAATCAGACGCTCGTTAAAATAACGAAAGTGAAGAAACTGGCATTTGTCCGCAGGTTTGGGAATTTTTATCACATTTTTGTTTTTCGGCTCAACAATTTTCATACCCATTAAAGAACATATTTCTGTATGGATTTTTGTTTGTTTGTTTGTTTGTTTGTTTTTGTAAAGTGTTTTACGGCGCTCGCAACTGCATAAGGTCATATGAGCGCGCGGGACACACCTAATATTTTCAGTTGGTAGGAAATTTTGAAATTTTGCCCGGGTGGCGGCCGAAGCCTACTCTTATCGATTTTAGACCACCAAGGGATCTTTAACGTGCGCAACTTACACACGGGCCCTCCGAGATTTTTCGCCCTTGTCCGAGAAGGCTAGGTGTAGATCTTTCCTACCAGAAGATCAGGGGTGTGGCAGAAAGACAGCAGTAAGGAGGAGCCAAGGAGAAACAGTAGAAAGGCTGCAGAAAGAGTCAGGAGCCCAGAGGAGGGGGCAAAGGAGGTGAGGGGGTGGGGGCAGAAAGTGGAAATGAAAGCAGACAACAGAAAATTGCTAGAGAGCAGGAAAGGAGGTGAAAGGAGACAATTTTAGAGAAGAAAATTTTGTGTCGCTACCCGGATTCGAACCCGGGACCTTTGAATGAGAGGCCCGTGGATTTTTACCGAAAAGCGTTGATTAAAGGCCTAAAAGATGTTTCCACGGACTCTCGAGGTCAGAAAATAACTGAACTTTGGTGGCCATTTCCCCCACTAATTTTACATCTAAACCAAGGCGACCCCCCCCCCCCCACCTCCTTCAATCGCCAATATCTTGATTTGAATTCAAGATAAATGAATATTTTTTTCATCAAAAGCAAATCAAATGGACAGGCCTTAAGATGATACCATTAACCCCGTATGCCCAAAAATTGACGAGAGCCTGATTCCACCACGCCATAACACATATATGTCGCTACGTCCTCAAAGAGTCAAAAATTCCCCCCGGGCAGTGCCTCTGACTGTAGTGTCTTTAGGCCATTCCCTAAGGGGGGATATTTCTCGTTCAAGCACAGAAGAATATTGTAAATGGGCTGATCCATGTCACGCTCATAAACTGTGCCTGATCTACAACAGGGAACTGCTGCTTTTTCTTTCCTAATCCTTACTATTGTCATTTCCCTCTACTTCTTTTGTATGTTTGTCACTCTCTTGTGACCCGCTATTTCCGGGTTGCCTTGGTAGTCGAAGCAGACCTTGTGCTGTTGAAGCTAAAGAGGTGAGCAGAGTTAGTCTGATTCCCTGTAAAGACTTCTCTGTTGATACCCACCCCTTGGCGCTCATATGACCTTATGCAGTTGCGAGCGCCGTTCATTCATTGTTCATTGTTCCAGGAAGCAACATCCTGCTCTCCGGACATGTCCATTGATGCTCTGTTGCTCTCTCCAAAATGTTGCCGAGGGTCCTCCGAGCGCCGTAAAACCCTCTACTATAAAAAAAAGATAAAAGCGACACGACGCCGGGCATTGAGAACCGCGTGTGTCCCGTGTGGTTGCCATATTGGATGTGGAGATGGGCGGGGCAAGTCACAGAGGAACAGCGTGTTCCACACCCACTCTGTTATCTTTACCTGATACTTTAGATAAGACCACAACAACAATTTTTTTATGGTGCTTGGAAATATGCAAATTCTTTTCTTTTTTTTACTTCGCGTACGTCGGTTCGGAATGAGAGGCAACATCGCAGTTGGTCCTGCTCTGGTCGGAAAAGTTCCACTGTATTATGGTTTGGGGGGTGGGGCGGGGTTGGGGGGGGGGGTTTGGTGCTGGTGCATCGTTAAAGGCATATGCATAATTTTTTCTCCTTTTCCTTTTCCTTCTTCTTCTCCTTCTCCTTTTCCTTCTCCTTCTTCTTCTTCTTCTTCTTCTTCTTCTTCTTCTTCTTCTTCTTCTTCTTCTTCTTCTTCTTCTTCTTCTTCTTCTTCTTCTCTCTCTCTCTCTCTCTCTTCTTCTTCTTCTTCTTCTCTCTCTCTCTCTCTCTCTCTCTCTCTCTCTCTCTCTCTCTCTTCAGTCACGACTGAAGCGCAAAGCAAAAACCTGTTGTTTTCTTCAGTAGAAGTCAGAAGAGAAAAATTCCAGACTTTGGCCAGTTATTCAAGGACGTACGAACGTATTTAAACGGTAAGTGTTTGCGAGATAAAACCGATCTTTTCCTGAACACCTTGTGAGTGAAACGTGAAAGAGACGTGAAAATGAAGGTTCTACTCATCGTCGCCATTCTTATCTCTGTGTCAGGTGAGGGAGACGTCAGTACACGCATCAATGACAACTTCCATCAATATTGATTCATTATTGTATTTTGTTTGTTTGAGTAAAGAGAAGCACATCGACACAATAATCGTCATTTTGAGCTGGGGAAAAGTAAGACAGAAAGACCACCAGTAATTCATTTATAGAGGCACGAGCCATCCATGTTCAGGTGCTGTGTTTTAGCCAAGTCAGACAGACAGAAACAACAGAGGGGGGGGGGGGGTGTAAAGAAGTAGGACCTACCAGTGGCGTCCTCCAAAATGAAAAACCCACGCATAAATATGTAATAGACTGACACCATGAGAAAAGCGGAATTCGAAAGCAATGGCTCAATTCCTGAGTATTTCATAACGATACACAGGGATAGACAACTACAACTTTGACTCGCTCTGTCACGTTCGTGCAAATACTGAGTGATAGATCTAACCTCCTTGAAATTTTGAGGTCTGTAGGGTGCGCTTTTTTCTAATCTTGGTCTTAGTAAGGTTTTACGGCGCTCGCAACTGCATAAGGTCATTTGAACGCCGAGGGGGGGGGGGGATGTCAACAGAGAAGTCCAAACGGGGAATCAGGCTTTCTTTGTTCACCTCTCTAAAGCTTTAGTTTTTGTTTGTTTTTGACTATATCGGTTTCCGAGCCTTTTGGTTGAAACAATTTGATATCAAATAGAATCTATTTTTTCACTTTGTTGTAATTTCACTATGTTTCCTTTTCTCCATTTTGTAGGTGTGCATTTTTTTCAGGAACTTTATTAAAAAACAACAACAACAACCAAACGTAATATCTCATAATCTTCTTCTACATTTCCTTCCCTTGTGTTTATGTGTAAATTAATGAGAGGTTGAGAAATTTCTTCCAAAAAGGAGTTGAACTGTTTTTCTTGTATAAATCTCTCTCTCTCTCTCTCTCTCTCTCTCTCTCTCTCTCTCTCTCTCTCTCTCTCTCTCTCTCTCTCTCTCACACACACACACACACACACACACACACACACACTCTCTCTCTCCTTATATATATATATGTGTGTGTGTGTGTGTGTGTGTGTGTGTGTGTGTACGGGTGTATGTGTGAGTGTGTGTGTGTGTGTGTGTGTGTGTGTGTGTGTGTGTGTGTGTGTGTGTGTGTGTGTGTGTGTGTATGTGTGTGCACGAGAACGTGTGTGCATGTGTGCACGTGTATGTGTGTGTACGAGCGGGCGTGTGTGTGTGTGTGTGTGTTGTATATTATATTATTATTATTACTATCACTATTATTACTATTACATGTATTACATGTATTACAATTATTACTATTGTTGTTGTTGTTGCTATTGTTGTTATTGTTATTATTATTATTATTATTATTATTATTATTATTATTATTATTATTATTATTATCATTACTATTATTACTAATATTACTGTTGTTTGTTATTACTGTTGTTTGTGTCTTGCTAAGAATCTGTTTTACGAGTCTCAGTGGTGTTGGTGGTTGGCGGGTGTCTGGTGTGGTTTGCTGCGTCTTCCCAATCAAGCGTCTATCGTCCTTACGTTTCATCCTCCTTTTCTTTTGCTTGTGTGCTTTTTTAAGTTTTAGTAAAAGTTTTACGGCACTTGCAACACAATAAAGTCATACAGGGGCAAACGATTAGATGTATTACAAGAGAGTAACAAACTCAAAAAAAAGGAGGGGAGATAAGGACGATAGATGTTTGATAGGAAAGAAGAAGAAGCAAACCACACCAGAGCACCCGCCAACCACCCTCTCTTGTGTCTTTGTTTATTTGTTGGTTTGTTTGAGTAAAGAGAAGCACATCGGCACAATGATGATCATTTAGTGCTGGGGGAAAGTAAGACAGACAGACAGACAGACAGACAGACAGAAACAACAGAGGGGAAAGTGAATAAGGAGGACCTACCAGTGGCACCCTTCAACCACCCACCCGCCTTTTCCTTTGCATGCTATTCTCCAGTAACTCCTCTTATCTTCGCCACGAATGTGACCTATTATTTGTGTTGCGAGTGCCTTAAAACTCTTGACTAAAACCTTTCAAAAACAACCTATCCTCAGCTTGCCGGTCTGTCTCGGACGACAGTGACGTCACCAACAGTCGCAGCACACGCTGTGTATTTGCAATCTGCGCCGTCTACTGCCCTAGCGGAATGAAGAAAGACAGTAACGGATGCACTCTTTGTGCCTGTAACCCTAGCTTACTCGACCTGATTAAAAACGGCAAAATTGACTTGTCAAACTTACCGTCCCTATAAAATGTGCATATGGAAAGTTTGACTTAACAATAACAGCCTCTATGAAATGTACATACGGAAAGTTTGACTAAACAGACTCAATGCCTCTATGAAATGTACATACGGGAAATTTGACGTAACAGACAAAACGCTTCTATAAAATGTGCATACAGAAAGTTTGACTGAAAAAACAAAACGCTTCAATAAATTAATGTGCATACGGAAAATTTGACTTAGATCTAATAGACAAAACGCCTCTATGAAATGAAACAAAGAAAAAAGTATGACTTGGATGTCTTTGGGGTAGTTTTAGTTTTAGTAAGAGTTTTACGGCACTTGCAGCACAATAAAGCCATATAAGTGCCGAAGATTCGAGGTGTTACAAGAGAGTAACAAACACAAAAACAGGAGAGGGGAGATAGAGACAATAGATGTTTTTATAGGAAAGAAGGAGCAAAGCACACCAGACTACGCGCCAACCACCCACCTTTGGAGTTGATTACGAAATCTTCCAATTTCTCTTCCATTACAGAAGGTATACGCTTATATGACCCTATTGTGTTGCAAGTGCCGTAAAACCTACAACTAAACAGAAGGTATAGAATCTACGTCATCTTTGTCTTGAACGCCAATAAATAAAAGCTATTCTGGTAGATTGTGTGTCTTTCGTTGATTGAATTACTAGACATCAACGGCCGCCTCCTTTGTGGCTTTTATCATCTTCTCTCCTCCTCTCCCCCCATCCCCTGATCCCCATCCACTCTATAACAACAACAGCAACAACAACTCAATAACAGCAACAGCAACAACAACTCAATAACAACAGCAACAGCAACAGTAACAACAACACTAAAAGCAGCAGCAGCAGAAACAATAAAAAACAACCTAAATTACTACTACTACTACTACAACTTCGTTGAGATTTTTGGAGTATAGACTGCTGAAAATGGGAAGTCGGTTACAAGA